TTTTTTGGAAGACATTTTTTTATTTGTAAATCACTCAATAGCAAAATCTGTATAGTCAATTGATTTAGGTCGGATTACTAAATTGGATAGTGCATTCAACCATGCAATGCCCAATGTCACAAAACTTTGGCTTAATGAGTCATCTACAAGCGTCAACCCCACTACAAGCACAATTAGGCCTGTGTCTCATAACAACAGGTAGGTAATAGACAAACCACATCACCAGCTGTTGCACATGAGTCTACCATTATTGGGCCCACCTTATTCACCAATCTACATGAGTCTTTTCACTTACCAGCATTGGGTTTGAGTCAATTAGATCCGATTTGTCAACCATAACAGCCTTCTCATCTGACCTAATTGATTCTTACTTTGTCAATAAGTCTGAAACTATTGTTTCAGAAGATTCTCTTATTTTAGGCAGACAACAATGGCAAGTTTCACTTTTCTTTTTTGGTTATGATTATATTTTACCCTCTCTTTTGCTCGTTTAAGCATTATGTCGCTCCCATTTCCTCCTTCAACCAACTCAATGGTATATCTCTTCTCACAATTTATTTTTTACACTAAATTTTCTCCCAGTCACACTGCCTTCTTAATGGCCATCTCATCCACCAATGAGCCAAAATCATTTTTTCAAGCAGTCAAACATGGGCATTGGAGGGAAGTCATCATGAAGGAAATTTTCGCTTTGAAGGCAAATCATACTTGAACTTTGCAACTCTTAACCCCTCGTAAACAGGTTATCGATTCAAAATGGGTTTACAAAGTCAAATATCAACCAGATGTAAGTATTAAGTGCTATAAGGTGAAACTTGTTGCTAAAGGTTACATTCAACCTGAAGGTGTTGACTTTTATGAGACATTTGCTCCCATTGCTAAGTTAGTCATCGTATGTTGTTTATTGGCACTTACTTCGATTAAGCATTAGGAATTACATCAACTGGATGTGAATAATGCCTTTTTACATGGTGACTTGGAAGAAGAAATCTACATGAAGATCCCATAAAGGTTTTGCTAAACAAGGGAAGCAACGGGCTTGTCAATTACAAAAATCTATATATGGACTCCGTCAAGCATCTTGAAATTGGTATCACAAGTTTACCACTTCTCTTCTTGCTATTGGTTTTTGCCAATCAGACATAGATCACTCTTTGTCCACTTTCTCTCATATAGGATGATCTTTTATTACAGTTCTCCTATATGTGGATGATGTCATCATCACATGAATTGATTCCAATCACATTTCTAAGCTGAAACTTTATTTGGACGCAAAATTTCACATCAAAGATCTTGCCAAACTCATGTTTTTTCTTAAAATTGAAGTGGCATGTTTTCCAGCAAGTATTGCACTAAGCCAACATAAGTATGTACTTGATATCTTAGCCGAAAATGGCTTCATAGACTACAAGTTGGCTAACTCTCCCATGGAGCAATAACACAAGCTTTCACTTGAATCTAGTGAAATTTGCATTGATCTATAGCATTATTGTCGTTTACTTTATCTTACCATCACCCATTTAGATATTAGTTATGTAGTGCATATTTTTAGCCAATTTATGCATGCCTTATGATAACCACATCTTGATGGTGCTCATAAGTTGTTGCATTATCTCAAAAGAGCCCCAAGATAAGGTATTTTGCTTCGTTTCTAATGGTTCATTGTCTTTGCAAGCATATTATTATGCAGATTGGGTAAGATGTCTTATGACATGTAGATCCACTACTAGCTATATTATCTTTCTTGGGTCTTCTTCTATTTCATAGCAATCTAAAAAACAAATGGTGGTTTCTTGTTCTTCCATTAAGGTAAAATACCGAGCCATGGCCACCTTCACTAGTGAAATCACTTGGCTGATACAATTCTTACGAGATCTTAGAGTGACACACATTGCACCGATTCCTTTGTTTTGTGACAATCAAGTAGCTATTCACATCGCAGCTAATCCGGTCTTCCACGAATGAACAAAGCACATAGAAATAGATTGTCATTTCATCCGGCAGTACATTCAGTCGCAAACTATTGTTACTAGAACTATTTTTTCACAAAATCAATTGGTTGATATATTCACTAAAGCGTTTAGGTATGGTTGATTTCATAAACTGTTGGTCAAGTTGAGCATTTCTACTCTTTATGCTCCAACTCGAAAGGGAGTGTTGGAGGATCTTTTATTTATGGGGATTATTATTTTATATAATCTTTCCTTGTTAACCTTTTTCTTGCACTCTAAAGAAGTCTAAGATTTGAATACTTCCTTTTATACTATTTATTTTACTTACCTCCGAGAAAGCTTTGTATATATATATATATATATATATATATGTTTTCATCTTATTAATGAAGAGTAAAGGTTTTTTTTTGACTCCATCTTTTGAGTCATTTTATTTTTCACAAACAACATAAATAAGCAATAACAGCTCTCCATTTACGGAGTGATGGGGAAGTAAGTAGTCGGGGCAGCATCTTTTGTTTCACACAATAGCTACAATCTAAATCTCTCATCACCAGCATGCCTTAAACAAATTATGTTGATCAACATCCATTTTTGCAGGAGAGTCTGTAAAGAAGTTGTCACACCGCCATCCGCTGACAGGTAATGTCAACAAAAATGTTAAGATAATTATACAAACTGTCCAGTTAGAATTATTATACAATACTATTATCTAGTCTACATATATATATATATATATATATATATGTAACTAATCCTAATCTTATTCATATTCTAACTCTAACTAACAATATTATAATATAATTCTAATAAGATATTGTAGTCCAACTGGATAATATTATTATATAACAACTCTAACTAAACCAATTGTATAATTATCTTAACCAAACAATTATACATATTAGTCACCACAGCCTAGATATAATCTTAAAAAAAAGTCTTGAAAATAAGAAATTACAACTTAAAGAATAGGAAACACATTGGGCGGAATATTGTTACCAACATATACCGTAACCACCATCTTCTGGAAACCTTGGTTTCTTATATTCTGTGCTTCTTTTTAATAACGTATTGTATTCATGTTTCAACTTTCAAGTCGATGTTTATTTTTTTTTTTTAAAAATAAAAGCTTACATTTATTTAGCTCGATGAGAAACAGGCCTTTGAGTCCCAAAATGCATAAAATATGTTTACCACCATTTGGCACAAAAATATGCTAAAATAAGTGTGAATTAACTCATCATAGAGGCAACAAAACTGAAAGGGAAAGATCTATCGATGCGGCATACGGCGGGTGGTTGTCTTGGTGGGGCGGCTTTCATAAAGCCTAACTTAATGCATCTTTCGCCAAAAGCATATTAATATTTATTACAATTTGAATTTTCAACCTCATCTTAACAAGACGCATGAAAATGATCAAATCAATCACGGAAAATCCTTATATTATGTTAGGATTGAAATTCTCTCCATCACTTTAATCATCTAGATATGTTAAGGTATTGAAATGTGCTTTTAAGAGATAACCTTTCTCTAATTAAAAATTTTGCATATCAAGATTTCCTTAGAACTCCATAGGTTTCACAATTTTCATCACTCAAAATTATGGCTATTTAAAAGGAAAAAGGATAAAAACTGCAATTTTTAACCAAAATACTCGAGAATAAAAGAAGTTGCTCAATCTTTTTGCAGGTCAAGGCAAAATGTGTTGTTTCTGTATATGATGTGCATTCAAGATTAGTATATATGTTTAATCAATGAAATTTTAATTTAAAAAAGGAGTGGGTGATTATTGCAATTAATCCTCCTTTCCTTTTTACTTGTTTTCTAAGCGTACTGATACTTATCCTCAACTGTTTGATAGGGCAGATTTGATGTCAAACAATCTTTATTAACATTATCAGCCTTTAATCTAGCAGTTGAAATTGATGTAGCAAACGATAATGCCAAAGTGGTTGAAATTCCACTGCCTAAAAATGGGCAGTCATAATATTTCATTAATAAAAATGTTCGATACGCCACCTAAGTTAACCACCACCCCTTTTACTTTGACGCCATTGTATTAATTTTACCCTTTGCCTCCACTTTACCACTTTCAAACCAACCTGCAAGAATAATGAGGCAGAAAAAAGAGATTATCCTCATAAATTTGGGATTTAATTCATTTTATGAAGTAATTAATTATTTTGGTTACTCGGCTAAGGTAGCTGACCACTCTAAATGTATGCCTTAATTAAGAAAAAAAAAGGGAAAAGAAAAGAAGAAAAACTAATGTGCTAAAAAATCCCATTAACCTTCTTTCATTTATATAAATATTTAGCACTGCATTTAATTTCAAACATTTATAGCCACTAAACCATTCTTCTTGATTCCACAACCTCTAGACATAATTGCCCCTCCAATTCACCAACTATTTTGCCACAGCTCCCTTGCACATTAATTAATTATTTCATTTCTTCTTTTTGTAATTAGTTTGAGATTTTTACCAAGGGAAGTTAAAGATTTTTTACGTCCGAATGGAAGTTAAGCCTATTGTTTTTTTTTTTTTTTTTTGCACTATTTTTTGGGGAAACAAAGTCCACAATCATTTCCAAGCCGGGCAAGCTCTAAACATCTCAGCAACAAAATAGCTGAATTTCAAATGCCTAAGACTAACATCATGGTTGGTATTCCATTCCCCTTTGTTTCTACGTGAACACTAAAATTTTTGCAATGGAAGTGAACATATCAAGCGATACGGATGGCATTAATTATGTTAGTTTCCCCTTTTGTGAAATTTGGACTAAGAAAAGCAGCTTGGGAAATTTGACTTGAATACGTCAACAAACAGATAACAAAAACAAAGCGAGAAAATTCAGAAGAAAATTCCTATAGTAAGGAATGAAGGATAGGAAAATCATAAATGATGCCTTGCTATTTTCGTTTGCAACGAAAATTACTCAAACCAACTCCTCTGATCATCATTGGTGGGAGTATTTACAACAAAAATTTTCTCCTATCTACAAACATCTTGGCCTTTTTGTTCCTCTCTCGACCACCGTTAATCTGTGTATTTCAAGGCACCAAGTCAGACTCTTCAACCTCTTCTATCTAGTATTCAATTCACCTTCAATATCAGCTTGTTCTCCACTCTAAATTCTCCTTACCCTCCACTCCTACCCATAATTAATTAATTAACAATTAAAGCAAATCCCATCTCTCTCTCTCTCTCCCTCTCTCTCTCTCTTCCCCCAGAAAATCATTGCATATATAATGGTCTAAGCGGTCCAAAATCAATCTGCAGGAGATCCCAAAACTAAATATTGATGTGGACTAGTTTCTAGGGATAGAAGCATCATTCAGCCTTTTTTTTTTTTATCTTCTTCTCTGGTCCACACCATTATATCTACTGAGGATCATCTCGGTTGCTTCCAGCTCCCCTCTGCTATATTTTACCTGATTTTTCACTTCTTAGCCCTTCAATTTGGTAGTTGAAAGCTTCTTGCCAAAGGTGAATTATTTTGTTCAGTTTTCTCTCCATTTTTTTTCTCTGTTTTTTAGATTACTGCTTCATATCATTTTACTCTCAACTCCATTTTATTTGTATGTGATCATTATCAAACAGGTGAAATAAACTATTACAAACAAGAGACCAAAAAAAAATGAGTCGAAGAGAAAACAGTCCAAAGCTGGAATTGAAGCTGAACCTATCACCACCTAGGCTAACCAACAAGTTGGATCGCCAAACACATCGGTTTCCTCCTGGGAAATGTCACCTGAAAGCTCGTGCGTGTCTTCGGAGCCTGACGACTCTACGTCGATGCAATACCGAGTAGTCCTGAAGCAACTTCGATGGTGCTGGTTGGATGTCCTCGATGCCTCATGTACGTTATGCTGTCGGAGGTGGATCCCAAGTGCCCCAGATGCAAGAGCACCGTCTTGCTTGATTTTCTTAGCGAAGAGAACGCCAAAAAGGCAAGAAACTGAAGAAGAAGAAGAAGAAGAAGAAGTAGGATTTTTCTTCTTTCTTTCCATGGAACAAGTACAACTTACTTCTCTAGAATAGGCTTTTTTTTTTTTTTCTTTTTGTTTGGTTTTAGTTTCTTCTTTCTTTTATTTTTGCCAGCTTCTTTTGTGTTGGAATGTTTGAAGTTTTCTGCTAATATATATCTTTGTTTCTTTTCATATTCAGATGCTTGGTTGCCCTGTAAGCAAAAGAAAAGAAACACCGTTTACACAACATAAAGCTCTATTGTCTTAGATCGGATGTTACTTTTAGGATTCAAAGTTTTTCCCCCACTTTTCCTCCTTTGCAACCAAAGGAAAGATTTTGTTTTCTTTTTCTTTAGTTTCATTTTCAAATATAATTAAAACATCTTAAATTCATATAGTGCAGAGCCATAGATAGATAGGTAGCTACTTTAACACATTGCCTTGAGTGCAAGGTTTTAAGGCCTAACAATACTAACTTAAGCAACATTCACCCTCTTAACTGATTCTGCCTTAATTGGAGGGTAATTCAGTTTCAACTCCATGTTTTTGAAAATAAATATGGATCACTATGTATAACTAATACGTTTGTTTTAACCATCATACATTTGGGCTTTTGAAAATAACTCACACATTTATTCTATCTGATAATATGAATACCTTTATATATATATATATATATATATATATCAAGAAAAAGTAAGTAAAACTAAATGTAAATGTTTAACTTAAATCTCAAACATATTATAAATCTTTGCTATCTAATTCTTTTGTCTAACCTGCAATCTACACACACATATATGTATATATATATATATATATATATATATATATATATATTATGAATAAATCTGCAAGTGTAATTACGATTAATGCTTAACTTTTGACCATGCTTTACTCTTGGATTAAATATGGTGAATCAATAAGCATTTTCTAACCTATATATGTTTAGACAATTAAACCATGATTCTAACTAAAATAGTAAATTAGAAGTGGCATTTATGCATTTCAGAGGACTGTTGTCCGAGATTTCATCCTCAACAAGGGGAGAGTGATCCTGCACTATGGCGTATCCAAAGGTGAACTTTTACCAGAAAAAGAGAAAAACAATTTTGAAATAAAATGAAAATTTTTTATAGCGTATAAATATGCAGCGGGCCACTAGCTAAGCAACCAATCATTTGATGCAACTTGGTACCCGTTGAGGGTTGGGCATAGATAGTTAGCATCAATTTCAATGCAAGCAAACCAACTATCACCGGGTAGTTGAACTACTTTTCTGTAATATATTGAAGGTGAATGTCAACCTTATTCAAGTTTGCATGAGCTTCCCCTAGGACAACCAAAATTAAAATACATTGGTCTTGTCTTTAACACATCAGTTTTAAACTTTATAAGTTGTTTTTTATTTTTAATTTAGATTTTAAATCAATTAAGGTTCATAAAAAGTGCTCTAGAGTATTTACCAGTTACTACTAAAGGAAAATAACAGAGTTCTAATTATCTATATACACAAAATTTTTGTTTTCAAAGCTTAAATTATTTACGCATTACCATGATTTTTGTTTTTTTTCTCAGATTTCTTTAACTATTTAACCCAATCGGTTAATGAAATTTTAATAAATAATAATAAAAAAGTAAAAAGAATGATAACTTTATTATTATTATTATTATTTGAGCTGATCATCATAGATACTATGTACATCCTGAGACAGTCATTTACAGAGAACCGTATATAAAGCGAAACCAATTAAAAAACAAAATCGAGCACTAGCATTTAAATACAGTGGCAGATAAGTCGGAGTTGCAAGAACCAGGCCGATATTGTAGTCACAGAAGGGAAAACGTTAAATCTTCTTCTCTCTGCTGCTGTTGGTTGATCTTTTTTGTAGTTTGACAAGCTAAGTTTCTGCTATGACCTGGGATTCAGTCGACCTTCTGATCCTTGATTTTCTTTCTGTTGGCTTGTGTTGTGACGATATAGTGTACAGGGTGTCTTGTTGATTTTCTTAGGTTGTCATGAGATGATTTGTCTGTAATGCTCTGCTGGGTTCATATGCCCGCTGGGTTAATTCTTGTCAGTTGTCCTTTCGATCACATTACAACCTGATGTTGATTTTGAACTTGAACATTCGCCATCGTAATGCTGTTTAATTTTGGAGCTCGTGCTTTATATGATATGACATCTTTTGTAAAGCATGTTATCGATAACTTAAGGTAAAAGACCCAAGGGTCATCCTCACTAAGTCACGTGTCGGCATTCAAAGTGTTGGGTTGTGATTGGAGAGTGTTGTTCACTAGCCTGGAACACGATGTGGGCTTTTTGTCTGTTTTTTAATTTTTTAAATGCTCAGGTCGTCGGTTAATGATTGCTGTTTTTTGTTGCATAAAAAAGCGAGAGTTGATCTCTTCTATTAGCACTCACACACAAATTTATTGTGTGCATTATTGTTCCCTTTATGGAATATATATATATATAGTTCTTATAAAATAAAAAATAAAAAATATATTTGTGGATATTTGTACACCACTCTAGTTAATATTTAAAAAAAAAAAACTCCTCCTTTATAGCTATGCTGTGTGCGTTTATTAACACAATAAATAATAATAATATGACTAGACCTTATAAGTAGACCATGATTATTATTCAATAAAGGGATATACGTTCTCGGTAATATATTTAATTCAATTATATTATAGTGGTTTCTTAATATTTTTTATAATGAGCTTAATTAAACTATATTATAATATTTATTTTATAATAAATTATTATAATATAATATTATAATATAATTATATTACAGTTAATAGATATAATGTGATTGCAATTTAAAACAAATACAATCAGATTGCATTGTTTTTTGTAATATTATTAAAGATATTTTTACTTTTTAATTTTTTTATTTTATTAAAATATTTTATAATATTATAATTTTTTATATAGATTTTGAAGATGTTTTTTTCTTATTTTCAATAATCATGGTGACTATTAATAAAATTTATATTGTGTTTTAAAAATAAAAAAATTATAATAATATATATAATATAAAAATTATATTAAAAATAAAAATATAAAATATAAAATTATAATAAAAATAAAATATATAATATTAAAAATATATTTAAACGATGATATTATATAAAAATAAATAAATAAAAAAAATAAGTATATTAAACTTGCATTGTCGTAAATAGAAGTAATTATGAAACTTAATATTACATTCTAAGTAAAATATTTGTAAATCAAACGTTATAGTGTTATTTTTTTTATATTTTAATTATTATTTTATTAAAATATTAAACATTATAATATTATTTTTTATAATCATATTATTTATAATCACATTATTTATAATTACATTATTTGTAATCATATTACATTATATGTAATTATATTACATTATAAAGTATCAGATGCACTGTACAATTAATTTTAATAAAAAAATATATTGTGATCTTTTTCATGAAATAAATATATTGAATAAATATAATTATATCAATGTCAAGATTACAGTTACATTATTAGTTCGCTGTATTTTGAAATTAACTGTGAAAAGATATTTGTAGTTATATTCAAAGCACCAAATCAATAGTGGGGAACACACTTATCTTAACAAGGCAGTTTTCGAAATGATTAGCTTCCTTGTATAATTGAACAAAAGAAATTTGTTTCAAATCAGTACGAGTGGCAGATTCTTATTGTACCGAAAAGTCGGTAAAGTAAAAAACGAATATATTCAAAGAACATAGACATTGTATCATACCCTCATCATCAAGGTACAAAGTTTGTGTCCAAAATCAATTTATGATGCCCCTGCCTAAAGACCAAGGACTAAGAATTATAATATTTGTTAGTCGTTACCAGAAAAAAGCATTATATAAAATCTGGGATATATTGGCGAGGCGTCTTGTGGCTGTTTATCTCTCTCTCTCTCTTTTTCTTTTCGGTCCTTTTGTTCTTTCAGTCTATGTACTCGTAGTCCTTCGTGCGTTCTCCTTTAAATAATAGGATACTACAATTGAAATGCATATATATTTTCTACTTACTTATATATAGTAAAGGCCAAAAGGTAGTATAGAATTGCTCAACTTTAGCACAAGAATGAATTGGGAAATTTTAATTACGATAAAGTAAGGCATAAAAGGCTAATTGAACTTAATTAGTTAAAGCATTACAGCAAGAAGAGTAAATTAATATAGATCAAATATAAGATTTGATGGTATTAAAGTCCCAGAAGTTTGTAAATATTATCAATTTAATTATATGTAGGCTAATTGAGGGATATTTATGTTATTGACCTTATTTTTAATTAGTCACGTTTATAAATAAAAATTATATATGAAAATCAAACAATACTCAATAAAAATATAATGTTACGATTACATTAATATAAGAAACGAATTAACAAATTTTAAAAATTAAATAAATCAATGTAAAATTGAATCAAACTTACACATGGTGAAATTCAAACTTTAAACTTGGTGTTTAAAAACTTGCTTGTCATTAAAACAAGAGGTCATTGATTATTATTGACGTTTTATTTGTTAGTTTCTAACGAGTACTTATTTATCATTTTGGTAAAATCATTACGGCGGGGCATTACACCATTTGAAATTCTCCAATATATTTAAGAAATTTAATGATTTCTGCTCAATTTTTTCTTCGTTTCGTGCGTGATTGGATTACGACCATATTTTTTCGTTGACTGACGTTTTTATGGCTAACCTCCAAGTCATTGTCTTCAATACCGGTCGTAGAGGGACTTTCTGCATGCCGCCAAATTTATTGCTAAATGCCATTTGATTGATATGCCCATATATATATATATATATATAACCATTTCAAAGACTGGTTCTTGTTTGAATCATGGTATATATCATGGCTATATATCTAATTAAAGAGGCGTACTATATCCCTTTGAATGTAATTTTAGGCGTAGGAAGTCAAAAGCTCCCAGGTTCATCATGCTATGCTTTGTGTGTCGGAGGTTGTCACTTAGCATAAAACTTGACCACATGTGAATTGTACTAACTAGGACATGGATTCGAGTGTTGCAATAGCCGCCAATTGACACATGAGATTTTATACATTAATTGGGTTATTGGGACTTTATTTCACAATAGAGGCTTCAAGCCGGAATTTTGGAAAAAAAACTTCTCCCACTATCTCTGTTATGCAAGTATCGGGCTAAATA